CCCCCCAAACCATAGCCTTCCTGGCAGACTTCTGCTGACCGGGAAGCTTACTGGCAGCACCCAGTCACGCAGCAGAAGAGTCTACGTGAAATGAGCCAAGTACTCGTCAAGTTCAACCTCGCATACATCAATGAACATTCACATGAGAGTTCACAAGTGAGAAGCCAAAATCGTCATACAATCAAAACTTGAAGATGTCGTCTCCAATGTTATTATCAAGATACAAGAATGTTTGTCTCCAGCGGCTCTGCCGCACAAACACACACAACGGATCTCAACCAGATTGCAGCTATGACTTCTCCCCTCTTTTCTCTCTCTCTCTGACTTGACTCGCTCTGCCTACCCTGGATCGTTACCCTGGATGCACCTACGCAGGTAGCTTGCACCTTGGCGGCTATGGCCGCCGTCCTCCTGCTCTACCGCTAGCCTAGCTATGGAGTATCTCTCAAGTGCCCTCTTCTTCTTCTGGCGCACAGTGCCCAAGTTGCCTTAACGCACAAGCAGCAGCAGCGCTTCCGCATCTTGCAACTGAACAAGTGATGAGCCGCTGCACTGTAGCAGCTAAATATAGGACTTGCCTTCGCTGGGCTTGGCTTGGCCTGGCCTGCTTCAGACCGGTACCGGTCGGCGGCGGCCTGTCTGCTGCAAACATTTTGTCGGTCCAGTAGCTTCCGGACTTTCCTGGGACATGCTGCAAAATTGGACTTGGGACTGTCGGACTGGACTGGACGCTTCTGGACTTTTCTTGTCGGGTACCGGACGGACGCCTACCGACCTACGCCGCTTTGGTACCGACACCTACCGACCTACGACACTTCGGCCTCTAGCCCCTACGGCCTACCCTACCAGACAGCCCTGGGACTTGGGACTTGTCGGGACCCTGGGACTGGTACTGGGTGTCTGCAGCATGAATCCTTTCATACGGAGAGGCGGGGTGCAGGGGAGGCCCTCCTAGCTGCCTCACAGCCCGCAAAACCCAACCTCAGTCATAGCTACTCGATCAACGCAAAGACCACAAAACCCAAAGCCCGAAACGCACCACACATCACTAGTACTAGTCTCCTTCCTTTCTACATATGCCTTCCTACCTTCGCTAAGAGTCTTCCTAATCTTTATTACTCCCACTCTTTCCCCCTCATCTTTCCCCTGTCACCCTCCAATACTTCCCCTTGGATTTAGTTCCATCGGGCAGTCCGCAGTTTTTTTTTACTTTTTTGGAGTTTTTCCCTTTTTTTCTTTTTTTTTCTCACCGCTCGCGTGCTGTTGAATGATGTTGACAAAATCTGTCAGGGACAGAAGAGGATGAGAGAAGATCAAGCACGGGGCAGTGAAGGGGTGGTGGCATCGGCAACAGGGTCAGCAGGGGCTCACAGTCAAGGAGTATTCAGTCAGATGGTGAAAAGTGAACCTTGGACCGAAGGACCCCCTTCGGGCAGTGAGAGCCAGTTGGCTGACACAGGCGTAAAAAGGAGACGGGTTTCCTTGATGGAGATTTTGCAGAAACGACAAAAGTTAGGAGGGTTACCATGTCCTCTGACAGCAAGTCAGGCAGCTGTGACAACGGCGATGCAAAGTGCAACAACGAGAAGAGATGTTGTGCAAGGGAGGGAGGAGGACACGGAATCACCTCTGCCTCGCAGTCCTTCTGTGGGGGATAGGCCAAAAAATAGGACGGCCGTCAGCATGCCCCCTCTGCAGCTAGAAGGTGTTCAGGAATGTAAGAATATGAGCCTTCTGGATGGCAAGACAGAAAAAGGTACAGGTGATGGAGTCAGGTTCATTTCCCACACCGCGAAGGAGAAGGAGCTGAACATGCTGAAGACCGAAAACGCACCGTCGGATCCAGCAACAGAAACACCTCCTTACGTAGAATCGATGGCAAATACAGTGAATGTCAAGTCAGGAGAGGAGCAGGCTGAGAAAACACCATCTGACATTAAGGTGAAGGCTGATCCTGTCCCAGACATGGGTTTGCCTGCTGCTGCTTCAAAAGCAGCTGTCATACACAAATCCCTCATTGTGGTAAGGGATTTTCCTGAGAAGTTCTCTTCACAAGTGACGAACAGGCATGGCCAGGGAGCAAAGGTCGTGAATTTCAAGCGTTTCCGGAAAGTATGTCTCCTTCATCTCTCTCTCTCTCTCTCTCTCTCTCTCTCTCTCTCTCTCTCTCTCTCTCTCTCTCTCTCTCTCTCTCTCTCTCTCTCTCTCAATGGTGTATGTGAGTGAGTTGCCATTGGTTGTCAATTGATATTGAAAAGATTCACGCACCTCAGCAGTCCCCTGCTGGACCACAGTATCTTGTACATTCTCTTCTTTATCATAGAGCAACACATAGACCTTTCTTGTAGGTACTGTAGCGGACAAAAAAGAAAATCAGTAGGATAAGGCCCAGGAACTGTAGGAAGTCCCTAGCAGTCAGTAGGTAGTCAGTTGCCACGTGTCCAGTCCTGGTCAAGCAGCAGCTCAGTGCCTGGAAAGGCCTGGGGAACAGTCGAAATCGTTGCCGGCTGCAGAAGGGCCTGGCAGAAGAAGCCACGAGCCACGTGAGGAGTTATCCCATTCTGGCTTATGCAAAAGCGCTGCTGCTTTATTGTGCGGCAAGGTCATGCATGCGTCACCGGTCACTAGCGAGGAAGTAGACGACAGCATAGGGCGCCATAGCTGTAGGAGAGCCCAGTAAGGAGGGAGAGAAGTGAGGACATTCAGAGGGAGATTGTACGACCTGTGTGTGTGTGTGCACAGTAGTAGTAGTAGTAGTAGTAGTAGTAGTAGTAGTAGT